TAATTTCAAGTTAATTAGTTGTAATTAAATTAATTATTTTTTGCCATCGAATTAATTATTTTATGTCGTTAAGATTAAAAAGCTCGTTAATTAATTTATGAAAATTTGTCTTGTAATTTTTAGTCAATTGGTTATCCTACTCTTAACCCTTTAAAGGACCGAATTTTGGGCCATTTTTCCCAAATTACCAGCAGCCCATTTCTTCATTACCATTCAATTTTCCTCCAGCCCAATTCCCCTTTCCCAGCCAGCCCACTCTTTCTATACACCAATATAGCATACCCATTTCAATTCCAAACCCAAGCCCATTCCAACATTACCATTCCTTCAACATAACATCAGCAATACCAAAGAACCAGACGACCCCTGCATCTTCTTCACGCGAGAAACGATACAACAGACGCATACCAAACTCGACCTCACCCCATACTTGCTTTCGTCTTCTTCACGCCTAAAATCACCAGAAATCGCGGAGAACCCAGAGACGTGATTATCTGCGAAAACCCATAACCCTAGAGTCCTAATCCATCACCATCGTTGTCCCCTTTTTTCCCCATTTTTTTAGGGATTCTCAAATCCTTCCACTTATTTCGAATTCAAATTTCAATTTTTTCTATTAGTTTTCCCTCCCAAATGCCCTGATTTCCCCTATAAAAAGCCCTCTACGCTCAGCGATTCTGGGGGTGGTGGAGATTTTCTTGAACGATAAATTTTACACTTGGGAAATTTCAGACGTCTAAAGTTCCAAGAAGGTCTTTTGTTCGAAGTTGGTCTGAATTTCTTGGTTGGCTGCCCTAGACTAAAATCGTGTGAGAAGTCGTCCTCTTCCAAGCTCATTCGTCCCAGCTCGCTGCTCCGAAAGAGGTAACTTCATCTCTTCTCCTATATCATGTTGGTTTACTTTCCATTTGATGAATTAGCTATGTATCCGTTCTATTCGAGTTCGGGCGGATCTTATGATATGTGAAAACAGGACGGAAGTAGCAAGGAACGTGTTTTTGTTTTGAACTTCCAGCCACTAGTCCATTTTCTTATATGTATAATTGATGATTTCACTATATCGCCGCATTATAATCATTCATTGTCATTCATGTCTTATGTATGTTATTCCAAATTCATGAAAGTGTTCTATTCATCTTATATGCCTAGATGTATTCGGAAAGAGTCCTAACTTATTTTTTTTTTGTCTAAATCTTCTCGACATGTTGCTTTCCTTTAGTACCGTATTTCCGTTTGAATCCGAAAGTGACCGCCATAGATCTCTGCATTATATTTTTTCGGTTCGTTTTATTCTTTTCTCTTCAAAATTAGCGTAATGGTAAATATAAAAAATTTGCTTTTGATTCATGTATATGGTATCTTGAGTTTCATATAAAAATCAGCCTTTTAATTCGGTTTGTAATTAATTTCAGTTTAAGAGGCAGTAGCATTTCCGCCTGAAAATTCCCTTGAAATCTATGTCTTGTTGTATGAAATTTTTCATGAGTAATTGTAAGATATTTTTGATATCCAATAGTTATAATTTCCCTCCCAAAATCGTTAGTTCTTGTTTTTATCCCATTTCATATTGAAAGTTTCCAGAATGCTTGGTGTAGTTTTCATTTCTACTGTGTTGATTCATTTGATGTTTAAGTTGGTCATTGCCTAACATTTCTTATTAATTTGCTAGTTGCACTTTATATTGCAAAGAATGTCAGTTATATTGGCCCCCAGGAAATGTACTAATCCCTATTTATTTATCTCTCGCATGTGACATTAATCCGAGTCTATTTGGACTCCATCATTGCATATCGTTGGATAGTCTAATTATGTGGCGTTCATATTTATTTATCTATTTTGATGTCATTGACTGTTAAAAAATGTGATTATTTCTCCGTGTTAATTTTGCTTAATTTAGTATTTGTTGCCATTGGTCTTGTCTATATGCCATTGTCACACTTCAAGTGTTGGTCTTTTCTTTTGTTTGCCACTATGAGTGTCCTTTCTTTATTATTAATAATATGATGATATTTCCAATTGTTGTCTTATACTGTTCTTAATGTTGCTTTATTATCAAGCTTCTTGCCAATTATTCATCCTCCCTTTTAGTATATTTGAAAGTGTAGCGCTCAGTTGTTAAATCATGGGACCTATGTGTGAGTCATTAACATTAAGTATCGTGTATTTAAAACTGGTTTGAGTTTGATAGCATTACTTTATCTAACAGGAATTAAATTGATTTTACTTGTTCATTATTAATTATTAATCTTTATCTTGTCTATTTTGTTGCATGTGAAATCGGTCCGAATTCTATATGAACTCTTATGTTCTCCTTGCATCTCCTCGTTGGGTCAAAGGCCCAATTTTATCTCTTAACGAGTCAGCCAACCTTGAGAAATCGAAGAACAAGTCTTCGGAGTTGATGTACAGGTCTCGGAAAGCAGAAAAATGGGCTGTATACATCCGATATACACTAATATACAGCCTGTGTATACAAAAACGGGATTGGATTAAAGCTCAAAAAATTGCAACGAAATTGGCCCAAGAAGGGGCCCAATTTCATTATCTCTTTTACTCTCTTAATCGTTTTGATTATGTCTAACTAATTTTATTTAACTCTAACTTTAGAACTTTTAATTAACTTACTTAGATCCCCAAAGGATGAGTTATTTTCTTTGTGTTGATTTACTTTTAAAACATCTTTTTTTTTATTCTTGTATTTTATGTCAAGTATACCGGTCAAATTCTTTATATCTTTAATTACGTATATGTGTTCTTAAAAAAAAAAAAAAAAAAAAAAGATATGCTCTTTATTTAATAACTTTTTTTATTTTATTTTTTTTACTCTTTTTTTTATTTTATTTTAAGTTGGAGTATTTTCTCAAATAAACTAAAAAAATATATATATATTTTCTTTACTTTGTCACTTTCTCAAAAGTTAGTCGGTCGAAACTTTGGTGCCTTTTCACTTTTAATTAATTTAAGATAGTCCTCGTGTTTTAATTTATCAAATTGGTTCGAATTATATATTTTTTACAAACAATTCAAAAAGTTAAATTAGTGTAAATTTGCTAAGATTCTAATAACTTGTAATTTAATTGAACTTCAATTAAGGCCCCATTTCTTAAAAGATTAAAAATTGTTCTTTATTTAACTATTTTATCGAAGTTAATCAAATATCGTGAATTATTATTATAAATCATTTTTTTTCTAAAATTAGTCAAAAAATATATTTTAGTCAAGTCGCAGGTCAACCGCATGTTAGCGGGCACTTCGAATGCTTAAACCCTTCTCGAAGTGTAAATTGAACCCCGAACCCCCTTTGATATTTTTAAATGATTTTTTCTGTTTAAATCTTTGAAAATTATAAGTTTTCTTAGTTTCTTTAAAAAATTAAGTGGCGACTCTTTCTAAGTATTTTTCTTAAGATGTTTTATACTTGGAACATTTCAAAAGTGATTTTTCTAAAGGTTAGGAAAATTACGGCATAACAGTGAGTTTCAAGAAATTAATTTTATTACAATGAAATTGCTTAGAAGTTTTGCAAGATTACAAAAGAAATAAAAAAAATGGTCATTTATTAAATAGTTAGTATTTCAAAAAAGAACATCCAACAAAAAAATTGTATTTCTTGGGTTGCTTCAGATTTACAAAAATAGCGGTTGATCACTCGATTAGTTATTGTATCTTTGTGCCTAAATGATTAGTGAGTTCGATTTGAGTGTTCAGAATCAGAGAAATTGTATACTTCAAGGTAGTAAGACAAATATAGTATAGTCTGATCACCAATAGACCTCGTTAAGAATCTATATGTATATAGCCTATTTTTCTTTTTCATCAAATATGAAGAAAGATAAATATTTATATTAAAAGGGATAAGTGTTGATAAATTGATAGTAAAATACAAGTACAAGCAAAGACCTTTGTATATTTTACACCAGGAGAAAAGAAATTAAAATAAAATAAAATGCTTAAACCTAATTTATACCAACCATCACTAATTATAATAATACCATAACAAAGAGTTCAATCCTGATCAATTTGCCACAAAGATCTTTGCTGCATTACAAAAAAAACAATAATAAAAATTTATATTTTAAACCGGTAAAAAAAATTAAATTACACTAGGGCGTGTTTGGTACGAAGGAAAATAATTTTGTTAGAAAAAAAATTGTAGTTATTTTTAGTAGCGTACGCGGGATTTTTTGTAAGCGTTGTCGACATTTAAAAAAAATATAACAACATAATATTAATAAAAATTACTTAAGACGTACTAATTAACATATATCAAGTAAATTACTGCAACTAATAACGAAAAGTTTTCATGAAATTAAGTTCATAAAAAAAATGAATAAATTTCAACTAGGATGAAAAAATGTGCTTGTTGAGGGTCGCTTATGTGTCCATCTACTACGATTTATTTTAGTAGTAGTCATATTCTTTTTTTTTCCAGATTTTATATATATATATAATTTCGACGAAACACTGTCAAGTGATACACCTTGCTATATGCCCCTGGTCATTTTGACATAAAGAATGTGATATTTTTTTTTAAAAAAAAAAAACGTTGAAAATGGGTGTTTAAAAATAGAAATTGTTTGGATATACATTTAATTTGAAAAACATAAAAGTTTTCTGAATGAAAAATCATTTCACTTGAAAAATCGGTCGAAATCACTTTTTCAAACTTGAAATTCATCTTTAAACTTTTTATTTTCTTTCAAAAGTCAGTTAAATATATAACCACATGATGTTTCGAAAATTATTTTTGAGAAAAAAGGAAATAATTATGTCCAAAAAAACCCTTAGTCTATTTGCCAAATCAAATACTAAAAATTTGAAAAAAAAAATTATTGAAAGGAAAAAATATGACTTTTTGTTTATCTTTTCTCCAAAGGTCTATTTGAAATAGTTTTAAAATTTAGAAGTGTGTTAAATAATAAAATGAAAAAAAATGAAAAAAAAATATTTTTCTTCGTACTAAACATATCATAAAAGTCAATCAAGTCAGAGAATAATACCTTAGCTTAGTATATATTGAAATCATATATAATCAAGCCATGATCCCTGCATCTGAAATCAAATTAAAAGGTCAATAAATGTTATTTTAAAGAGATTTGACTTATTCTTCGAATAATCTCAATAACATAAATCCAACATACGCAAATAAATCCTGAATAAAAAAATATATGCAAAATTATTTAAAGCTTCTTATTAAAGTTAAGATAACACATGTTGTTTCTAATCATTTAAATTGGCACCTCGCGCATTCATATCAGATATACATACTCGACAGTATTTTGAAGAATTCAAGCAACATAACGTGTAACGTAGATGGAAATGGAGGAAAAAGTACCAGAACCATTGTGATGACTATCAACAGGGAGACATCTTTGATGATTCTCCATACATTGCAACAAAAACTTGAAAGTTTCAATTTCACAAGGAATTGTAAGGCCACCACTATGATCAAATCCAAATTCTTCTTCAACTTTTTCAAGTAATTTTTTGAACAAAGAGTCACTTAAGTAACTTGTTGGAATTATAAATCTTCTAAGTTCTGGACCCACATAAACAGCTAAATATCCTTTCGGGACGCCATGTGGCGATTCAGGGCTTTGACAAGTGTCCTCATCTGAATCCCAATACATATTGGAGCTTCTTAGCCTCTTGCTTATAGAAGGGGATATCCCTCCTCTATATGTCTCATTTTTTCGATTATTAATTGACGATTTTGTACAACCAATTTTAAGGCTGTGGGTTTTTCCCTTAGTAGTAGTAGGGGTAAATGTGACATTTTGCCATTTGTGTAACAATTGTTTGAGTCTCACAATTTGTCTAATTCCTGTCAATTTTGTTTCTCCATGATCTTCCATTTTTACCCTCTTTGCAAAAATAGCCAAAATAATTACAAGATTGATGTTGAGGAAATAATCCACCTGAGGTTGATTATCCTGAAAAAACATATACACTACTATATATTATAGTAGTGAAAAAAAAATTAGAGCATAGTTTGGTAAAAAAAAAAGTTGAATATTAAAGATTAATAGTAAAATATTATATGGGGTAGTAATATGAGGTTAAAAATTAAGATAGTTATAAAGAAAATGATTTTCGTTTATAAGTGAGAGAAATAGTTTTCCTGGCTCCTTTTGATGACTTGTTCAGATAAAATATTTTTCTGAAAATGATTTTCGTCGTATCAAATACTAATCTTGATACTGTAAATTCCATCATTCGTTCTCAACATTCAAGTTGAAAAAACAGGTTATAACAATAAATATAGTTTTCTAAAAAAGAAACATTTAATTACTTGAATATATCAAGAGAATCATTTTCTTATTTCTACTAATGATATTAACGAAAATCTATTTATGGGGTGTAACAAGAATTTGTATTCTCAAATAATATCTCGAGGGATTTGCATTTATCATGGAAATTTCGTTTTCTTTACGATTAATATCTTTTTTTGAAGGCTTTTTTTTTTTTCAAATTTCACAATTTACATATATGCTAGAGGTAGAAAATTACCAGAATATTGTATATATGCTAGAGGTAGCAAGAATAACAAATCTCCATAATATACATAGAAATTAAATATATGAAAGAAATTTAGGGTTATATATATAGAAGATCATGAAAAAGGCTCTTTGTTTAAGAGTTCTTTGGCCTTGGAAGATGGAATATGTATAGATTTTTTTTTCTTCAGAATTCACTAAATATGATATAATGATTCTGAATTTTAAAAAAAAAATACAAACTATATAATACTTCCATGCATGAAAATAGACTTATTATTTTTGCATTTATATGTATTCATTCTTTGTCGCAATAAATTTCTCTAAAAATTTATGGCTTTACTATTTTTTCGTTACTAATTTTCATTTTATCCATTCATATAAACCATTTTAAATCTTGTTCATACAATGTTTTTCTTGGGAGATAGACAAACACCCCCACCCCCACCCCCCTAATAAAAAATTGTGGAAAGCGCGAAGAGCTAAGCCTTCATTAATGTAGTACGTATTATATCTATAAATACATATTCTATTAAAAAATTAGATATAAAGTTTCTTTTATAGTCATATATACGTTTATGAAATTCTTAAAAACACAATCAATCTACGTACGCCACATAAAATGGAACGGAGGGAGGTGTGTTATCAACTATTATGTTGACTAAGATAATACTGGATATCAAAGCACAATTGGGGATGTAGCTCAAATGGTAGAGCGCTCGCTTTGCATGCGAGAGGCACGGGGTTCGATCCCCCGCATCTCCATATTTTTTTCATAATTTTTTAATTTTTTAATCGAACACGATTAACATATGATAAAGTCTTTTTATTACAAAGAAATACATTTATATACTATCAATATGAAACATAAAAATATTTCGTAACTCTTTAAATAGTACTTAATAAATATCATTATTAGACAAGTTTGAATTAAAAGAGAGGGACATCGTCATTTGAGGTTATTCTTATTAGCTTCATATGAAACCTGATTACTTTTATCCAAATAATAACATCCCATAACTTAATTAGGATCCTTCATTTGACTAAATAAGATTATGATTGTAATGACAGTACTATAGATTTTTATTTCATTAAATACTTTTCGATAGATTCTAAATGGTTATTTTAAACTATTCGTAACTATAATTATAAATTTAGTGGGGTGATTTTAATTGTTTTATTAGTTGGTAGTTAATGGACTAAATCCACAATTTATTTAATTAAATTACCATATGGCCCATGGATAAGAATAAATTAGAGGGTTTAGTAATTATTTAATTATTAGTTGATAATTATTTACCCTAAATAATTAAAAGAGGAGAGAAGAAGACTTACCCATTGTATTGTATATTCAATTTTGTCGGATGTCCGTTCTTTGTGAATGATAGGCGATAATTAGAGGTCTCGGGTTTGAGCCTTGGGTATGGAGAAAATCATGTTGGGAGCGTCACCCCCGAATGGGCCCTGCAGAGCGCGATCCGAATTTAATCGGAGCACCAATATAGGCTCCGAACACCGGATGGAAAATTAAAAAAAAATAAAAATAGGTGATAATGTATATTATTATTATAATGTTGGGGATAAGAAAGTTGAGGTGCTGCAATTTATAAGTGTGTGCATATTGATGTGACTAATGGAGAAAATAATCAAGAATTGGGGCCAATGGTTAGTTGCTGGTTGGTTGGTTTGATTGGGTTTTTTTGGTTAGTGTATTTTGTGGGTTCATGTGTTGGCTGCCACTGGTATTGTGACCAGTGGTTTCAGTTTTACCATATTATAAACTAAAATTTGATATATTGAGATAGGTAATTAAATATAAGGTGTAGTATATTATATGAATTACATTAAAGTTATGCTAATGGGAAGAATTAAGACTTACCCTTAGGTTTGAACTTTATTATAAAATTAGGTTGAGTTTTTGGGTCTAGGCTAGACATATATAGAATAATATGAGTGTTTATAGGCTTGTTAACTTACAAATTATGCATATATACTTGATAGATTGGAAAGGTTCAGAAGCATTGAGGAAAGGAAAAGCATTGGAGAAGTAGTTTGCTTCACTTCGGTTCTTTGGTGGAAGTAAGTTATGGTTTATTCTATTTGATAGATAGACTCTTAATAGTGATTGATATGCATTGAATGATATTGTAAAGTTCTCTGTGTACTTGATTGTGTGGTTTGTGATTGGTCTGAAATCCTGAGACCGTGAAATTTATAATCTTGAACCCTCTCTATCGAAGTGATGCCTTGAATAAAGAAGGCTTGATGAAATATTGTTAATGAATTGAAAAGTGGTGATAATAAATGATAAATTAATGAGATTATTGGATTAGATTGTCACATTTCAACACGTTATAATTGGATTGGAGTGTCATCTTTCCGACACGGTATTATTGGATTAGAGTGTCACGTTCCGACACGGTATAATTGGATCGGAGTGTCACGTTCCTACACGATAACATTAAAGGAAAAAGATATTGAATTAACTTAATGTACTTAATCTCAAAGAACCCATTTCCCAAATGTGCGTGGTGTGGAGGCATGAGTCCCCATATGTGTGCTTGATATTGTGATCGATTGCATACTTACTTTAGTGTTGTTGTCACTAGTTCATGTTGTTTGTTGCTTGCCACCTGCTAAGTGTCATAGTTGATTTTATACTATTATTCATTGTATATTAGTTTCTATTTTGGGTTGACCAATGATACCTACTCCATACGTGTTCCTTGTACTGACCCCTACTTGTGTTTTCTTCATTTTTATTTTGTGTAGTGCAGCAAGTGTACCATCGACTTTGACTCGCCCTCAGCTCTAGCCAGTCTCCAACACATCAGATTTCAGGGTGAGCTATTCCTTCTAGCTCGTGCTAGATTCTCTCAGTCATGGTATGATGTCCTTAAATTTCGGACATGGACCATCTTATTTACTTATATTAGTGTCTCTAATACCTTTAGATTTGGTATATTAAGAACATATGTCATTGATGTGATGACTTTCAGGTTTTGGGGATAATGTGTAATAGACTTTAGAGGTTGATTTGATTGGTTACTTTAACAAGTTTTGAGCTTCCGCATTTTATTGTTATTCGTAGTTGAATTATTGATATATGTTGGGGTTTAGATTCCTTGGTTCGCCCACTTAGGAGGTTAAGTGTGGGTGCCACTCACGACGTGTTTTGAGTCATGACAATGAAAAATTAGTGTTATTTTCTTGAATTGATCTCAAGAATTTACAACACTTAAAAAGTGGTATTTTCTACCTTTTTACTTCTTTTTTTCTACTTAATTATATGTGGTACCAACATACGATTAATTAACTACAAGATAATTTTGTCGAATTTTTTTGATATGGTTCTTTCAAACATCTTTGTATATTTTACTTATTCATCAGTATTTATTTGGGTTATAGTTAATTCAGCGAGAGGATCGCATTCCTTATTTTTATGTGATTATAAACTTTATGAAACTTTGATCTTAAACATACTATAATGTTTAGATGGTATAATACTATTGAAGCGATCTTAGCATGTCAATCATCGTAGCATTTGGGTAGCTATAAAAACTTTACATTAATTAATAAATTAGAATTATGTTATTTTTTTAGAACAGATTATAAGAAAGTATATAGTGTCAAATAAAAGAAATAGAGATAATATCATTCAAAAGAATCACATGTTTTTACATTCACAAACAATTTAACTCAAACCTTTTATTTTTATCCTCAATAATATAAGTTTTTATAGTCATACAGATTATCATGATATGTTTAACATTAATAATTTCAAATTTAAAGCTTATAACTATACAAATATTATGAAATAACAGTAAGGTATTTTTAGAGACAATATTTATTTATAAAAAAAATAAACTTTATATCCGATGTGTTATATAAATTAAATTAAATGTAGTGGACGCTAAATGGACATTTGGGGATGTAGCTCAAATGGTAGAGCGCTCGCTTTGCATGCGAGAGGCACGGGGTTCGATCCCCCGCATCTCCACTTTTTTTTCTTCATAACTTTATGATATTTAATTGTGCATTCGAACACATGATAAAATGATGATTTGATACTTGCTTGCACGACTTTAGAACGTGTCGCGAAGGTCTTAAGATTTATATTTGTTATATATTCAGCATCTTTATTGTGATTTAGCGATGTAAGATTTGTCAAATGCGTTACATACATTCTCTTAAGGACTCAACGTCTTCATGGAGATTTGTCTCATCATCATATCAAATTATATTCTCTATAATTTATTAGTAAAGTCAAATCACAAGAGTATTTTCAATAAAAGAATGTATTTCCTCACACCATGTAAAGCGAAGCCTGATATTTAAGTGGAGAAGGAGAAGGGTAGAGGGGCGGACCCATTATCCACCGAGTTTAGAATGTTGTGATTGGTCCAAAGTGCGGGTCACAGACGGATTTCTCGGTTATAAAAAAAAATGTATTTTTTTATATTATTGAATATTTTTGGAAAAATATTAATATCTCTCTTATGACACAGGAAATTTATTTTTTTAAGACTTTCAATACATCAAATCTATTTTTCAATTCACATTATTTTATATATTTGTCTGCACTTGTATGTCCACACCTCTAACAAGCAAACAACAACTTACATAGTAAAGTTGTTTACGTGTTAATTATTTAAAATCTATTGGTTGTTTGAACCAAAATAAAAATATTATTTGGTAGGTTGTTCTCATTTATTTTTTTTGTCCTTTTTAATTTGTGCTAGAAAAGTAGACGAAAGGTTGAATTAAATAGTACTAAATAATTATTGAGGTTAATCAACATATAGTCGGTTGAAAGCCACGAATCCAAAATGACCTTCCACCAAGGGACATACATAGTCGTATATGGATGAAATTCTTCTATCCTTATACAAGTTCGAGCCTCGAATAGAGAGAGATTTCTAATATAAATGACATGGATTTCACGTTATCGAGGCTAGTGAATTCTGAATACCAAAATAATTTTTTTTTAAAATTAGAAAGATCCTCTCATGATTTCCTATTACTTTACAAACCCCAATGTTCAGTATTTGTATTGCTTCATGTGAGATGTTGAAGTTCAATATTTAAATTTCACAAGAAAATATTTTTCTTCGTATAGAGTACGCTCTTTAATTAAAAGATATTTCAAGTGAAATGATAGTTGATATTTCGATTTTCTGTTTGTGAATTATCTCCTAATTCCTTATTCATCATTTTTGGAGTTTTATGATAATGTAGAATATTCAATAAAAATGAACATTGTGGCAGGTTATGTACAAACAAAAAATATTTATTGAATGAGGGGCCTTGTTGCACTTCAACTACTACAGACTATGACTTTTGCTTATTATTTTTATTTTTGATTTTTCATTCGTGTTCGATGATTCAAATTTGTATTAGAAAATTTTATATCGAAGGTGGAGCTATTTAAATAAAAGTGATTCTATATATAAAATATTTGAATTTGACAGCTCTAATTGAAAAATGAAAAAACATTTTTTACTATGTCACAATTATTATTCTTTTAAATTTTGAGTTAAATATAATATAAGGAAGTTTTAAATATTGTTCAAATAAGGAAGATAGTATTGTTTCTCAGATCGAATTGTCAATTAAAATTTAATGATTATTTGTCTCTTTTCGAAAGTTTGGTACTATTATTATTGGCATAGTAGAAATTTGGTGATTGAGGTCTTCTTAATTTGTTCTATTGATATAGGCCCATACGATCGAGAGAAGTGACTTGATATTAACTCGAAGCCATAGGTATGAGTAATAAAACGCACCAATCATGCCCTTTAATTTGTTAGTTCGAATGTTGATCTATTACAATTAATCAATCTAAAACCATGTCACATAAGAGTTTGGACTTTACTAAACACCCCCTCCCCCCCCACAAAACCCCATGCAAAATAACAATTCGTCCGATCATCTTCTAACTTTGATAAGTGGTGACGGTAATTCTAACTGTCCCAAAATAGTAAAATTTCTTGTCACATAAATAACGACGTACACAAATGGTGTAACAACTCTCTCCCCCTATTTTCGATATGAACCCAAAGGAAATTAAATTCTCAATGAAGATGTGAAACACCAATGACTATATGATAGGATTCTTTACCTTTAATTTAATTTAATTTTAACATTTTGCAATCTCCCAATTTCTACTCCCACACCAAACTCAATTAAATCCAATTTCCATTTCCAGAATTGAGTTATTGCTAACTTTTAAAAGAAAACTATTGCCCTTTAAATTTTAGAATTAACTGAAAAATACCAAACAGATATTTGTTCATATTCAAAAGGCCTTAAATGAATGCTGACTTATTAAATTCACCAATCCCTATAAAAATTCAACAGCTAACTACCTAACATTCAAGAAAAAATCATCTATATATTTTAGTATAATTTGACTCGATACGAAATTTATAATTAAAAAATATAATTATATGACTTTATATATATATATATATATATATAAAATCTTAAACATATTATAATATTTTTTATGATTATATGACTTTTGAAATTTGTATAGCTAAAATATTATTATTCTTTACTGAATGAATTGTGTCAAGAAAAAAATTATCTTAATTTTTTGCACAATATAATTTTTCGACAAAGAATTAATTGAACTCCTTCCACCAAAGGTGGAACTACGGTTCTACTTATGTTGTAACATTGACTCATATTTTGTACTTGTGTTAAAAATTCATTTAAGATGTATAAATAATTTATCTAAAATATAGTTAAGCAGTAAACTATTTTTTCTAAAATTCAGAATTAATAAACTCAAAATCTGAACTTCGCCTTTGGTCTTCACTAAAGGTAGATCCACCCCTAACTTTCACTTGATTCTTTGTATATGTACCTATATAAATTAAATTCATTCTGAACTTATTCCAAATTATAAATTCTAAATTCGTCTTTGATTAGAACTCGACAAATGAAGATGTTTCGTTTTCTTCTCCTTCTCCTTATTCTCCATTTCTCTCACTTCACAAATGGAAAAAAAAACAATCACTTCATATTCCACAAATCATCTTGTTTACACATCTTGCACCAAAGCAAGTTACCCCAAAATTTGCATTAGAACCCTCTCATCATACTCAACCATAAAAACACCAAAAGACTTAGCAAAAGCATCACTAAATGTGAGTATTTCAAGAGCCAACAAAGCATCAAAATTCCTCAAAAATCTCAAAGTGAAAAGCAAAAGAGAAAAAGGGGAACTTGTTGATTGTATAGAGCAAATAGGTGACTCTATACATGAGCTTAGAAAAGCACTTTTTGAGCTAAAACACTTGCATAAAGGGATTGGTTTTAAGTTCCAAATGAATAATTTGGAGACTTGGATTAGTGCTTCTTTGACAAATGATGATACTTGTCTTGATGGTTTCAAAGAAATTGATGGAAAAGTTAGGTATGATGTGAAGAGAAAGATTTCTAATGTTGCAAAGGTTACAAGTAATGCTCTTTACCTCATCAATCTACTTTACAACCGAGGCGGATCCAGAATCTGAAGTTGGCTAGATTCAATATGTTAAAGCTTAATTTACCATATTTGAGTATTTTTAATGACGAATTTTAAGTATATCTTTGTTTTTTGTGTTGAAAATATTGAATTCAGTTCATAAATGCTACTTGATCCATCGATTCAATTTTGATTATGTTATTGCATTTTGTAGATAATTATGATATATTCCTTATGTGATAGTAATTTGATTATAAGCATGAAGTATATTGAGAAAGAATGAATGGTTTTTGAAATTTATTATCTAAAATAAGTCATAAATATTTGTGTAATTATAATTCTATATCGTTACGGATAAAATAAAAAGATTAAAATTAAATTATTTTTAAATATATAAATTTATTATTTTTCTAAAAAAGAAATGCATCATACATTTATAAACTACTATAAATTAAATTGCAATAAAGAGGACTATTTTGTCGGTGCAAATAATTTTTTGTTTATATGTTGGCTTTTTATTTCTTTTTAAATCTTAAAATGCAGTCCAAATTATTACTATTATTACTTTTTTCCCCTTTTAAAATAAAATAAAATAAAATCTAAGGCATCAATAATGTTGGTTCAGTTGGATGTCTCTTTTTTTTTTTTATAAAAAAAATGATAACATTTGAGTTAGGTCATGTGACATACAACGTCCATATGTATTATATAGAAGTTGATTGATTTGGCTATTCAATCGACGATCTACTGATCCTTCTTAATAGTATATGCATATTCTTTGATTTGACTAGAAAGGAAATATTTATTTACGATTGCTATAATACGACTTTTAATTTAGTGGAATTCAATAGTTTTAGTTTGTTCACCAACTAAAAGAATATTTATTTTCCTTCGACTTAGCTTATATTATTTTATTTCCTTACTAATTTATTTGAAAAAAAAAACAACATAATTTTATATTTTAAAATAATTAGAAACTTCACATTTGGTATTTTATTCTTAATAAGAACCTTTTTATAGTCGTACAAATACTATGGCAATGTTTTTAATACACAATCTTCAAAAAAGTCTATTTCTTTGTGAAACTCCGTGTCGATTCAGACTATGTCACATTAATTGGAACTAAGTGATAACTAAATTAAAAAGTGCAGAAAACACTAAATAACCAAAACTTAAAAGAGTTGTTAAAGAGAATAATAGTATGCTATTATTAGAAATGTTCTATAGTAACAACAGTTTTGATACAATAATTTTCGAAAACTATATTGGATTTGAATCAGATATCGGATCAATCTATATATTATGATTGAAAAAGGAAAATCCTACGCGATTTTCCCTTTCTTGTGCTTGCTCCAACAATTATCTATTGGCTACTACGAATACCTTATTCCACTAGAGAAGTCATCGTCATATTACCTTCTGTGAATTTTGACTCCATGTAACTCGAAATCAAGGACCCTAATTCAATTTACCTGACACAAAATGAAGCATATCTTTACGACAAATATAAGAATCAAGACAAGTGTTTTCACGTAGAAACGATAAAAAGTGAAGCAGAGAAGGCAATAACAACAACATACCCAGTGTAGTCCCACAGCGCAGGGTTCAAGGAAGGTAGAGTGTACAGAGACCTTACCTCTACCTCAGAGGTAGAGAGGTTGTTTCAGATAGACCCTAAGCTCAAGAGTAACGGAAGTGAAAGCATAACAACACAAAATAAGACGATAATTGAATCAACAGATAGTAACAGACTCCGACTAGAGATGTCTTAATTTCTTCAATTACTCTTTGTTTCACTAGCTACAACTATAAGGTGATAAAGTTAAAACTTTCAAACTCCCTCTTTTCATGCTTATTATTTCCGTCTTCCTTGATACACGCAACACTCATAACTGAACTTCACATTCAAAATCAATAAGCGTACATACCTTTGGCGTGTTGGGATGGACCAGCCTCGACACTGATATATTTACTTGTAGGGGGCGAATAATATCGATGAATTATGGCCACCAAATCCAAACGAATTCGATATTGCCACCTTAATATCCAATCTTTCTTTTTTCGAACCCACGAGTAAATTTGTATCCTGTTATGCATATAGATATATATCATCAAATCGCCAAGTTGCTGATTTCAACACTAAATTGTTGCAAGAGTGAACCAAGAAAGAGATGAAATATATGAGATGATTCAACCTCATATCATATTAGAGACTCATTTGTAATATGATACTCCCTCCGTTTCAATTTGTTTGTTTGGTTTTGATTTGGCACGGAATTTAAGAAAGTAAAGAAGACCTTTAGAATCTTGGAGTCTTAGACTAAAAACACGTAGAATGTACCAAAATTTCCTTTAATCCTATGGTCTTAAACATGTCATTTGGAATGTTGAAATTCAAGAGTTACCAAAAACGGAAAGAGGCATTCTTTTTTAAAGAGGAAAGTAAGACGAACAAGTTGAAACGGAGGGAATAGAAAATTTGAGATAAAAGACCAATGCAGGTGATGTTAATCGACTTGATACAAGATCATGCTCAAAAGAACGATAAACAATTGAAAATGCAACGAAAAGAGAGCCATACCACACCCTTATCTGGGTTATCAAGATTTATATTCGGATGAACCCATCCAGTTCGTATTGCCTACAAAATCCGTATGAACTCTCTGTCAAGACTTGAGCAACCGATATTTTAGGATGATCAGCACAAAAGAAAATCTTTCGAAATTGGCATGATAGCCTATACATGCTTTCTTTTTATGTAAATAAGCCAGAATAATTGATCTATAATAGTTTGAACCTAAATGGCATGACAACCTATATATGTCGCAATAGTAAAATTCACTCCCTGTAACTCTATATTTGTGTAAACATGTAAATTTAATAGACGATGCGTTACACGAGAAACTAGAAGCAACTCTACTTCAAGGCATATGAAATACAAAGTTACCTGAATAGTTGCTACAGCTTCAACAGCACCAGCAGCTCCTAGCATGTGACCAATCATAGACTTCGTGGAGTTCACTCGTAACTGTAAAACATGGAGTAGCAATTGATTAAAAAGCTGGAAAAAAAAGACTGAAGGAATAGGCATAAACAACAGTAGTTCGGAGAACCTCTAACCTCTGGGTTCTGGCCAAAACAATGTACAATCGCTTGGTACTCTTTGAGATCTCCTGCCGGTGTGGAAGTGCCATGCGCATTAATGTAGTTCACATCTTCCCTGGATACACCAGACTGAGCTAATGCCTTCTCTATGCATAAGATAACACCAGCTCCTGCTTATTTGTGGCAAAGGCAGAGATCAAGTTATTTCATATTATAATTCAATCTACATTACACAAAAACAAGATAGCACGCATTTTTCTCGTAAGTAATCCTAAACACAAAGCAATATTACCTAAAGGCATAATACATAAACAAACACTCAAACTTGGCCTCAACGGGCAAGTAAGCACTCACATCTAGACACCTTAACTCGTCTCTGTCGTCTCTATTGTGTCAGTTAAACACTCCAACTTACAAAATGATTATCTAGACACCTCCAAAATTTATGTGTCGTGTTAGCATCGGGTGTCCACGAGACACAGTCGGGACGAGTTGGAATGTTTAGTCCCCATTTGAGACCAAGTTGAGGTGTCTAGATGTGCATTCTCAAAGTTGGAGTGCTTATTTGACAGTTGAGGCCAAGTTTGAGAGTTTGTTTATGTATTATGGCATACCTAAAAGTTAATACGGAAAAGGGTGCCAGATGGATCCATAAAGACATAAAGATGTTTGCATGCTTAACAATTTGATGTTGTCCACCCAAAAAGAAAACAGATTAAGCTACAAAACTGCTCTACCAATTTAATAAGATGGTTTACAAATTGAATTACATCCGACTTTATAAGATATCTGCAGTTAAAATCCTCACTATTATAGCCCTATCCCGACCTGCCTAGTTTCCCCCTCTGCTGGATAGGGGAATTGAAATATTGAGAAAACAAGGTACCTTCAGGATGAGGCTCGGTCATATGATGAGCATCACATGTAAAGCTTCCACCCAGAAATTCAGCATAGATAGTTGCACCTCTTCTCTGCTCATTCAGACAACGAAATTGAAGAATTATATTATGATACTTTTCTCTTTTGTTTAAGAATCACGAGGAGTACGACAAAGAAAAGCAATCTAATATACTTAATAAATTACCTTGGCATGCTCAAGTTCTTCCAGAAGCAGGACTCCAGCTCCTTCACCCATTACAAATCCATCACGATTCTGTAAAAGAAAAACATGAAAATACGCAATCATTTGCATCCTTTAAAAAATGAGTTGGGCTCCGGTAATGCTATTTTTCATCTTAAGTCAATGAAATCATGTAAATATATCAAAACATGCTGACATGTGAAGGTTCGATCTCATGACATGGAAGCTATAACATTGAAAATGCAAAAACTAATTCATGCAGGAACAAAAATAGAAATACAGAAAGCCCATTTGATCACAACGACTAAGAGCCAGTTCGACTATAACAAGTATTCTAGAATTAGCATTTCCATTCCAGATAAAATTGGTGCATTTCCGAACTCCGACTAGACAACAGCGTGAGAACAAGACGAAAAGAATAACAGGACATTACACTATCCCAAGGCCGAGAAGCTTTAGTAGGTTCATTGTTTCTCTGGGAAAGTGCTCTGCATGCAACAAATCCTCCCAACCCTGCAAAAAGTTAAAATCACTTGAAAAAAAAAAAATTAGCTTGCTAAACCAATAAAGACAAGACGGACGATATATACCAACTGGTTCAATTACTGCCTCTGATCCACCAGAGAGCATCATATCCTGCAATCATATTATTGCTTTGAAGTCCTCCATTAGAGATAATGAAACTTTCTAAATAACAAAATTAAAGGCATGATTTCCAGAACTCTTCACTGATTCAAGGTAAGAAACTTACAGCTTCACCTTTAATGATATGGTTAGCAGCACTTAAAATGCAGAAGTTGCTTGTCGCACATGCTGTTGAAATTGAATAAGTTGGACCCATCCATCCCTGCAGTTTAATTTACA